GCTCTGAATGCTGCAGAGTTCAACTTTCTGCATGTTTCCATTCAAAATCGCAATCTGTCAGTCAAATGTGCTGTAAGCTAACAGGCCACCGTAGTAACATTCAAAACCATTTAAAAACCTGCAGGTTAAAGCAGGTTAGGTGAAAACATGACTTTCCCTGAACTCAGAGTTAAACTCCATTTTCACATAAACCACTCTGAATAAGTCTTGTTTTGCTGTTAAAAAGTAGACAGTTTGTATTTCTCTACTATTCTTGCCTGCTGCTGTGGTCTGTCCCCTTCATTGCCATTTGTTTGATCAAGCAATCATCATGATAAACACTTTACATAAACTCTTTATATGGTCAAGACCAAAGTTCTGAGAATGCTAAATAAAATACTAATTCACCTTTGCATTACAAATATAATTAAATGAAATTACAATTAACACAACCAAGTTGGCATCAAACACATTGTTTAATGTTTTTACTTGTTAAATATCACTCATATTTATGTTATAGAAGGGACTACTTTTGTGATTTGGAAACTTATTTTGCTTTAATATCAAGGAGATGTACAATTGTTTCTTTTATGAAGGTTAATTTAAGTGGAGTTGACATAAGTAGGAACTTAGACTATACTCACAGGTATATAATTGATCATAATCTATCTCAATAGAATCTATATCAGCATATTTACTATTCTCAGGCATTAGATGGTTTCCAAACTCTACCATCATCAGGTCAAAATTTTAACTTTACTACATGCAAAACTAATTCACAAGATAAAAGTAAAAAAAAAACTATGCTCAGCCAAAGACATAACAGGGTGAGGTGGGGTGCATATAACCAAAATCAAAACCCAAAGTGCACAAAATAGTTTATTCAGCCACATCAATGAAATGTAAACTGTCACAAATCAGTGCAAGAGAAAAACTACAGACGGCTATGCCTTCTTCAGTGTGCAATAGTCCTTTAGTTTCCTGTTTGAATCCATTTAAACCATAAAATTTTGTTTTTGGTAGTGAAACCTATGAGACTAAATTTTGTAAGAACCATTCGGTACATCTTGGTAATAAGTTGACTGCCACACAATGAATAGCAGAAAGGGCTCAACCAGGAAACCGTCATGTGCCCTGGGACATTGGAAGCTATAGTGTCCCCCATCTCCATTTCTCTCTTTTCTATAACAATCATTTAACACATAAAATGCCCCAAAACTACGTCTAAAGCTTTTTAGATATAGTTATAGATGTAGAAGAACCAGCTACATGGTTCATTTTCCACAAAACCGCAAAAACCCAAACCAAACTATCAGCCATACAGCTAAATTAAAAGAGCAAAATCAAATTTGAGTTATGGTGAAAACCCTGCTAAACTAGTCCTGCAAGAAAAAAGCTAACTCGCCTATTGTGGCAGCATTTCGGCTTTTAATTCGGTGGAAATTGATATTTGAAATTTACAAACCATATATATTCCTTTTTTAAAAATTTCATTTAAAAAAATCCTACAGGTACTGTAAATGAGCAGTGGAACACAAAATGAATTTCTTTGTTGCTATATTGTCATGTGCTTCTTATTCCTTAAGTTTTATGGCAGTGATTTTCTTGTAAAATGAAGTCTAAAATACTTAAATTGAAGACAATATCCACCTATTACAGTACAGCTGGTCAGCCTGTAATGATTCCTCAACTGCTGTTGCTGCTGCCTTTGTGAGGGAGCGTACATAAATGTGTCCAGAATGACCTCCACAGGCCCATTAACCTTGATGCAGCCCCTGCAGCGATACATACATGCAGGATCACGACTGCAGACGAAAGCAGAAACAATGTCGGGCCATACTGAGCAGGCAGGCAGCTGTGCAGCGTAGGCAGGCAGAGAGGGGATTGGAGAGGCATTTCTGCCAAGAGGATTAAGAACTAGCTGCTGGATGGATACAAATGAGTAGCACCCATTGCCTATCACAACACTGCAGAGAGCACCCATAGAAACCCTTTCATTTTGTCTGTGTTGTGGATTTTTTTTTCTGTTGTTGTGCAGTCCCTTCATCTGTGTCTTGCTTCCTCTGTGGTATGTCTTAATGCATGTTCATGATTGTCACAGGGATTTGTCCCTGTCTGTCACGGCATGCTCTACTCTATTAATCCATTTTAGGGCTTTTGGAATTCATCTTTTTTACTGTCTCTCTCTCTCTCTCTCGCTTTTGACCTGAAAATGCTGTCTCATAGACAAGTACACAAAGACAGGTTTCTTGAAAAGTAACACAAGAGAAAAGCTGACCTCCTCTAAATTAGATGTGATGAGGAATTGCCCTTTGTGCAATTTGTGGATAAAAATAGTGTGATATAACCAGATATATTATGTCTATGGAAATGATAACCATCAAAACAAAACAAAAGGGAAAAGTTATTGTTGTTACTCTAAACCTATGTAGATGTAGGTGTGAAAGTGGCATGTGCGTCATTATTTCAACATTATAGCTACAAATAATGATTATTTCCATTGTTAATATATCAAGATTGTTATTTGATCAAATAAGTGTAACAAAACAATGAAAAATAGCTATTAAAATTTCTCAGAACCCAAGATCCAAAATATTTTGTTTATTATTTGACAAACAAAAGCAATAAACCTTCATATTTGAGAAGGTGCAACCAGTGAATGTGCCATGAAAATACAATCAAGGATTCTTTATTAACACTGACAGCAGCAAATGCTTTAACAGAATGAAAAATAAGCAAAGGGCTTATGGCTTAAATATGCAAACAGTCAGTAATGGTGCAAGTCAAAGGTAGAATTCAGAGTTCTGTGCCTCCGCCAACCAGTCAAATTCACAGATGTGAGGTCACTAACCTTGACCTTTGACCATCAAAATCTAATCAATTCATCCTTGAGTCCAAGTGGACACATGCCAAATTAGAAGTAATTCCCTCAAGGTGTTCCTGATATATCGGGTTCACAAGAATGGGAAGGATGGGCGTTCAGAAAGACAGACAACCAGAACACATGGCTCTGGCCGCAGCTGTCGCCGGCTTGGAGGGGTAAAAAGCTTGTGAAAAGATGCTAAAAGAAAAACTTCATTTTGAATAATTAATTTCTCTCACATTGAATATGTTGCTCTGTAGAAGTTAAAGAGAAGAAAATAAACCCCAGCTACTTGTTTATTCTGGTGCTGTTGCCACATGTGACAGATGTTCTCATCATATTATTATTTCTTTGTTATTCTTAATTAATAGGTCACGAAGAGATACCAGAATTGATGGAGGTGGAGGCCACAAATCTGGAAAGTGAGTTTTAAAAATCCTAGAGTAAAATCATTTCATGGATTCTTGTGCTAACTCCAGTATATTTGACACGTACGTATCTCTGAAGGTTGACTGTTACCCTTATCTTTTTCAGCCCAATTTACAAACGAAGTCCAGACATGACTAAATCTCTGATGACAAAATCTGAGCAGCTCCTGAGAATAGATGACCATGATTTTACCATGAGACCAGCATTTGGAGGTCAGGAAACTGAAGTGTTTTATTTATATAACTCAGCCATGCTGGCCGTGTGATTGTCGCTTAGTCAACATGCTGTAGAGTTGACGTTCAGTCATCAAGTGCAGTGGGATAAGATCTGGGCAGTGCTCATTGGTTTGGGCATTAAGCTCTTGCGGACCTTAATTTCATCATCTACACAAGCTGTGCACAAGAGTGTTAAATACATGTCTTTGCCTCACAGTATATTAGGATTTGACTGTTTAGACTGTGGGATTATGCTTTTTTAATGGATTAAATATTTTTAATCTTGTTGGCTTTTTAAAAATGTTTTTTTATTCTTATTATTTGTTTTTTGAGGCAAATATCCAAACAAAAGACAAATGTATTAAAGTGAAAAATGAGCCAGGAGGGCTTTTACTTTGACAAGAGAGAAACGCATGCTAATTTTATCAGATCACTGTTAATCACTCGGCATT